AGCTCTGCCAGAAAGCAGAGCTGGTCTTGGAGCGAAGGTGTAAAGAGATCCAGTGGCTGTCAGATGACATTGGGAAAGTTCATTCAGGAATAGCAGTTTTAACAGGAAGCATAATTAAACACTGAGAAAATTAAATGTATGAGAAATCACACATTACTTGGAGACATGAAAAACACAGCTCATTACAGGATTAGATACAGGACTTGCTAGGTGAAGCCTGTGGCCTGCTTTATGCAGTGAGTCAGATTAACTGGTAATTAAATATTTCTGATCTGAGTGTATGAGCAACTGTGGTGTAGCTATTCACATAAAAACATAAAACACAGAGGAAAACACAGGCACAGTGGGGTCTGCATAAGAATGTTTGCTAAAAATATGCAAATAACAGAACTGAGCTATTTCTACGTGTGCTGTCTGGCTCTGACATGCATCTGGGAGCCTCAGAAAGAGCTACAAACTAAGTGTAGGCTACATAGGGGGCTGAAAGAGTCCAAAGGCACTATGGAATTCCTACAATTCCTTTTGGTTCATAGATGAGAGCACTGAGCACTATAATATCTCCCACCCTGACCATCATGGAGATGACTTTCTGTCACTGTGAGCCAGGGAAGAGGGTTTCATAGGCAGAACACTGGCCACTGTAGTTTGGGAACAGTTCCAGGACAAATGCGTTTGGATTAGTGAGGAGGCCTGGAAAACCTGGCTTTCAAAAGAAAATTTGAATTAGATGGAGACTGGAAAACCAGCCTTTAAATGGAAACAGGACCATGGTGGAGTTATTACCATGAATCCATAAATTTTAATTTGAGCTTTTTAAATTACATAGTTCCACTTCATATCAAATCCCTGTCTCAAACTGACAACATCTGTTCAGAATGAACAATTACATAGGGAGATCTGGAGGATTTTTAATTTAAGATGGGGATGGCTGGGAACAGGAAGGTGAAAGCCTTGTGTGGAGGATGTTTTGTTCCATGATCATTTTCTACAGGGCGTCGAGAGAGATGGGAGCCTAACATAATCCCACTTAATTCCTAAGAATTCTTCTTTTGATTTGTCACGCCTCCAGACAGGGCAAGGTCCGATGTTCTTCTTGTTAAACAACTGGAGATCAGGACTGTTATCTGAAAGGAGGCAGCAGTGTGTGTGCATGTGCCTATGCTCACACATCCTTTCTCTTATTTCCTGATTCATGGGTTAAATGTGAATGTAAGAACTGTTGTGAACAGAAGTAGAAAGAGAGCTAAATACAGCTTACTACTAGTGATGCATCAGAAATATATCTGGAATTTAGCAGTCTGTCACACATTTCAAGGATTAAAGTGAATTTCAAAATTGCAGGTGACAGGTAATCACCTAATTTCAAAATTACAGGTGACAGCTCACACCAGGTTTGTCGATGTTAAATCAATCTGACATCCTCTGCTGCTACTGAGTCCTGCAACACCACAATCAATGGGAGTTTGACCAGTGCTGTTATTGTCAGAACTCTGGAATTTTAGACCTGTGACAACAACAAATATGTAGTAACTGTATCTTTATTGGCAGCTGGTCTAAATATATGGTAATATAATGCGTATCAGAATTTGGAAACCAGTATGTGTCTATATTTTTAAGACAAGTGAACATTTACCTTGATGTTTTCAGAGATAACATATAGAATCCAATCCCTGTAAATATAAGTCAGTGCAAAGTAACAACATAGAAAATATTACTTTCTCAGGAACTGAAAATGCATGGTAATTGCAACCAGTGTGCCAAATGGGCTGGTCAAATCCTCACAGATCCTTCAAGTCCTCACAGAACTGGGGGAAAAATATAACAAAGTGTGAACACAAAGTAAGGTATCTTTGGTACAAAACTATTTATTTAGGAATATTGTCTAAGGTCTCTTTTCTGAAAAAGAATTAAATACTGAGTGACAATTTCCAAAACTTATTTAATTTACTGTCTGGTCTGTTCACTCCTAGTGAATTTTCACAAGGTGCTGTTTCCTCTGGATCAGTGACCATTTAAAACTCAATGTATTCATATTTCTAGCTCTGAACATATTTGTATTTGGATTTTGTTTCACTCAAGACTTTTTCTGTTTGAGACCCCTTGTAATGTCAGAGCAAACCATACATTTGCATAGATGTGAATATGCAAATGAAGGCATCATCTAGTGTTTTTTACTACTAAGTAAATTGTGAGTACCTTCTGTTCCAAGGAATCTCACATTATGGAAATGGTAAATCAACTTCCAATCTCTCTAATCTGGTTTTCTTCTTCCCCTTTTCTTTCTTTTATTTCTCTCTCTCACTTTTTAACCTTCTGTACAAGTGGTTTGTAGATTCAGACAGTCGACAAGGAGTCTGAGCAACGGCGCAACAAAAGACAAGATACAGTAAGGAGCATTTAGCAATGAATAGTGCCACAGCAAGGGGCAGTAACATGGCCTAGGGTGTTGACAGATCAAAAGAGTAGAACCTATGATGAGACATAGGCAAGAGAGTGACTCTTACAATAAATAACCTCTTAAAAATCACCTGTTAATGTGGTGTTTTGAGTGGCTGTCCAACATTTTGGAAGCTTTCCAGCTCATCAAAAGCATTGTTGTTTAGTATTGGTAGTGTAAAGCATATATTTCTTGGAGGACTCAGTCTACTTCAGGGACAAAAGCTTGACAGAGTTAAGTACCTTCTAGTGAAGAGGCACCACTGCCAAATTTTAAAAGATTTGGTATTACCTGTTCAAACCTTTGTTGAATCTCATTGGAGAAACAAATTATCTTTTTCATGTCCCTCCCCATCCAATTCCTTTTTTTCCTCTCTCTACACTTTACTTTTTACGTTTGTGTGTGCATGTTTTATTTTAATTTGTTGTTTTCTCTTTGTGCTTTTATGCCAAAATGTTAGACCCATACATATGGAACTGGCTGAATCCGTAGTTTGAACTAGGAGGGCTGGAGTTTAGAGTGATGTGACACAAACAAAATTGCTGTATAAAGTTATGACATAGAATTGGCATTATTTCACTATACTGAATTTATATATATTTATAATTCAAACTCTTCACTACTTGACAAGGAAGCTGTAGTTATTGGAAATTCCAATTTTTGACTCTTTGGTCCTTTTTTATTTTTCCTCTGATTAATAAATGTAGTAATTAAAGAGAGAGTTGGAGAATCCCCATTTAAATTATTACCCACACTTTAGTTATCTAAGTTAAACAAAACACAATTTGCTGCTCCTTCAAATCAGACTAATTACCTCTAGGAGAACTAAATTAGTCTTTATGTTGGCTGTATTAAAGATTCTTCTTAACTGGCAGGAGCATAAGCTCATTATATCCCTCAGAATTCATAAGAAATAAAGAATTAAGACCTTTAAATACAGTTCAAAAACTATAAATAAAACTAACTACTTAGAAAGAAAGATAAAAAAATAAAGAAGAAAGAAAGAAAAAATATATTTTTGATAACATCAAAAAATCAAAAACAAAAGCCTTAGAGAAGTTATGGTTTTTATGCTCTTATACTTCAACATTTTGTCTTTTTGTTCATAAAAAAGGGGATTTTTTTCTACCAAAATTGCAAATAATATTTAAATATTTTAAAATAATCTAATTTTAAAATAGGCTTTTTTTTTTTTTTTTTTTTTTTTTTTGTCATTTAATTTAAAAAATGGCATCTGATGAATGGCTGCATATCTTTTGTTTGTGTGTTCAGATAAGCAGGAGCTCTGAATTACATCTCTCCTATTGCCAGGACAAGAGGAGGATCCATTCCACATTGACTCTTTGTTGTTTATTGAAGTGCAGACTTTTTGTCTGGGTCAAGATGAACTAGAAAATTGTTTTCTGTTTTTCCTAACCATGTATTTAACATTTTTTTTTTTAGTATTTTTTCTCAAATTTAAATAAAAAAATAATTTGAATAAGCCAACAGGCCCAACACGTATTTGGAATAGCAAGATAAACAGATGGACATGTAAACAAATTTGCAGACAGACTAGCTGCAGAAGTGTAATTTTCTGGAGGGAGGGGGAAGAGAGAAGGAGGAGATTGCTTTAGTTGAGAAAACCATTTTCATTGAGAAATATTTTCTTGAAAAAATAGGCTACCTCTAACTAGAACCATAACTTCTTGCACCAGGTTTGATGTGAGACCAGAATTTGTAATGGAAATGAGCTGATATATAATATTAGCTAGTCATGTAATAAAAGCAATTATTCCACTGTGTTCAAATATGTGCCTTAGCAATACAGATTGGAGGGTTCTCTGTGGAATAAAGATACAGATTTGCCTGGGAAAGCATGAGATAACTCATAAAAGCTGATGTTATCCTCACATATCAACTCAAAAGATTAGTTGTGTATTTTGATAGCTGTTATCATCTGGAAGAACTTTCTCAGATTTTTGTAAAAAATGTTGCTACATGTATGTAGATAGAAACACATTTAAACATGACAGTGTGTTCTATAGTGTTTTCTCAAAGACTAATGGCTGCAACAATGATAATCATGAGGCCAAATTTTACATAGTATTTAAGGGGACGTTAATTGATAGGAAACCATCCATCCGTCTTTCAAAATTAAAGTTGATACTGTGGGAATAGAAATATTGTTTTTGCAGAGTTGCATTGTTTAAAGGTAAGGAATGTTGTATTGAGATATGCTTAGAGTGATAAGAAAGCTTAGCAGGTGACCTTGTAAAATGCAGACAGACTCCTTAGAACAATTAGGTGAAAATCACAGGTGTTAAGTCAAGCCAGATAAGTGAAGAACCATTACTACTTCAAGCAGTAAAAAAGTCAAAAGAAATTTGAAATTTAACAGGCCAGCAACTGAAGGCCATGCATTGTCTGTGAAGCATCAGGTAGATTGTGAACCTGGATTACCCACTCAGTGGGGAAACAGGGGAGGGTCTTGCCATCCAAAAGTATATAAACTGTGTTTTGGAACTAGTAGGTGCGCACTCCTGCTTGTGGGGCACCCACCATTGCAATCGCGATTAAATTACTGCTTCACTGAGATCCTCTCCTGAGCCCAAGTTATTGGCTATGGAGTGTTTCTCACAATTTGGGGGCTCGTCCAGGACCCAGTCACCTGCTGGGGAGGCCCACTGCCACAGCAGCAGGAAGGCATGCCCCGCTGATTTCAGCGGTCCTGTGCATCGACGGTGGTGGTTCTGCAGAGAGCTGACAGAGGGCCTGAGACTGATTACAGAGGCAGGATCCGTGAAGTAGTGGGGAAAGAAAGAAGGTAGGCACTCCAGGTTTTAAGAATTGATCTGGTAATTCTGTGCACAGACCAAGGTAAGAAATATTAAGTATTGCCTTGGGGGTCAGGTGAGACTCTGTGTGATGTGTGATTGAGATGTAGTTTTGTACCAAGCAAGCGTTGAGTCTTGATCCGCGGTTCTGTAGCTCCATGAGGGGTGTGGCTGGAGATGGACTAAGCGTGAGATAAGGGAGAGAAAAGAAGAGTCTTGGGAAATTTGGTGTATGGGTAAGCCCTTGTACAGTGAAGTGCTTGGCAGCACACCAGGGAAATTTGGTGTATGGTAATATTTGCACGGGGAAGTCCTTGGAACTACACCAGGGAATCTGGTTAACTCATAGGTGTGTGGTACCCCTTGCACGGTGAAGTGCTTGGCAGTACACCCCCATTTTCCAGAATCGGAATGTTAGTGTGTGATACCCTGCAGGAGGGCAATTTCTGTAGCAGCACACTGACAAGAGCTAGGAAAAATAGGAAATATGAGTTCCAGGGGACAGGGAGATATCCCTGGGGGGAGTGCCTACTGGCAGTTCTTCCTGAAGAATGACAAGAAATTGGAAAAATAATCTCAAAATTAGAGATGATAAAAAAAAAAAAGTTAAATATTGTGTATCAGTCTAGTCTAAATAATTAAGGAAACAGCAGTATTTTGGCCAAACTACTGGTCTGATGAAAATTCAGGCTTTAAATTTATATGTAAATAATAAGATTCCTTTTTCGGAGAAGGAGCCAAGTTATGCTCCCTATAATCCTAATATTGCACTGGTGGCAGCAGCAGTTGCTCCAGGAAGGGAGACAGGGAAAGCAATTAACACTGTCCCTAAAGAAGGAGCGTACTCTAGGCTCTGGCAAGAATTAAAACAAAGTAGAAGAGATATTGAGAATTTTGCCTTCCCTAATACTAATAGTACTAACACTAACTGTATCCTCTTAAGTGAACTCTCAGCCTAGCTGAACTATTAGACCAGTTCCTAGGACCTAACTTTCACTCCTGGGTGGTGTGAGGTATGTGTGGGAATTATGTCTATAAGTATGTTGTTTACAGGGAAAGAAATGGGAATGATCAGGAGGAGAACTGCTATACAAGAATGGGAAAAAGCTCATCCTCCAGGACCAGGGGTAATACCGACAGGGCAGAAATACCCACTTGCCGATCCTGGCTGGAATAATAATAGTGTGCAAATCAGAAATCATATGAGAGACTTTGGGTCAGAATGAGAAAGTATTCAGGGATGAATCCCAAGGGCTCTTGAAAGTTCGTGTTGTGATTAAAGCCTGGCAAGATACACAGAAAATGCTCCAGAAGGTGGGGGGATGTAGTGAACAGTCACTGGGGGGCCCTCTTGTGGAAGGCCCGGAGGGTGTATGCCAGGGGAGATGAGAAGGAAAAGCAGAGAGTGAAATTACTGGTATTGACAGTGCAGCAGGTAGTGAGGCAGAGTTGGAGAAAGAGGAAGAAAATCTTCAGGGGGAGTGAGGGCCAGGATGGAAAGGAGAAGAAGAGAAATGAAGGAATGGCAGGCAAGGAAGGCTGCCTGTGTTGTGGCCTGAGTCCTAGCAGGGACAGGCTTTGATAAGATGTTTTAAGTGTGGTCAGGCTGGCCTCTTCAAATAGGAATATCCGGGGTGGAAGAAGGAGGAAAGAAGGAAAATGGGATTAATATGGTATACTTAATATGGTATACTCCCCCTCTCCTTCCTCCCCCCCCACACACACACCTTACCATTGAACCCAATACACTGGGGCAGCTAGGTCATTACTGGCCTGTAAAGTATCAGGGATTAAATTAAATAATGAAACTAAAAAGTGATGGAGGTAGAAGGGGCTGGGATAACAGTGCCACTTTGGGAGGATACCAAGCTGAGACTAGGGGATAAAATGATCACTGGGCAATTATTGTATGTACCCAAGGCAGGAACTAACTTGTTGGGAAGGAATTTGATGATGAAATTGGGCATTCAAATAGTAAATTTTTAGACTGGAATAACAGTGTTATTAATGGAGCGCTCTCACGCCTTCAGAGCAAACTTATATTCACCTCTGATTGGAAAGACCCTGAAATGGGAGTGGAAGCAACAATACAGATTGACAGTTTTACCTCGGATTTACAGGGCCACCAATTTATTTGGGCAAGTTCTAGAACAGATTTTGGAGCAACTGCTCCTGAGGAGGTATTACTGTTACAAATGTGTGGATGATTTTTATTGTCAAGACAGGAGAAAACAGTTGTGAAGGAAGCTATTCAATTTTCAAGCTATTCAACTTTCTGGGAAAGCAGGGCTTGGGAGTATTGAAAAATAGGAGAAGTCAAGTATTTAAGGCATTTAATGTCTGAAGGAATACGAAGAATAAATCCAGGGAGGATTCAGGGAATTGTTGAAAATTAAGAAAGAACTAAAAAGTTTTAAAAGAAAGATTTCTTTTTAAGGAATCAGGAACCATGAAGTCTGCAGGAAAATGGATACTCCATTATGGGAGAGAAATGCTGAATAAAGCACCAATGAGGCAAATATTGTTTTACATCAAGAGTCATTGGGATGTGCAAGTAATGTGTGATGTTGTGCTAAGAAAGTACGTCTGTGTAGGAATACACGTATACACTTTAGCAAAGCAAATATGCAGAGGATGTACCATATGTCAAAAGGTAAATAAAAAGGTCATCAGTAACCCACCTAGAGAAGGACGGAAACCAGAGATTCAACTTTTTCAAAGTATACAGGTAGACTCTACTTGTTTGTCCTAATTGACCAAGTGACTGGATGGGTGTAAGCTTTACTGTAAGGGTTAAAGCAGGCCTTAGAGATTGAGTGGGATTTTTACACCCCCTGGCACCCCTCCTCTTCTGGGAAGGTGGAGCAAATGAACCAGACATTAAAGAAGCAATTAACTAAATTAGTGTTAGAAATCCAACTTCCTTGAGTAAAATGCTAACTCCTACAGGTTCAAACAGCACCAAGAAAGGATATAGGAATTTCACCATATGAGATGCTATTCAGATTGCCCTATCTGGGCAGAAGGGATGAGATACCACAATTCAAAACAAGAGAGTTTTCTTAAGAACTGTATTCTGGGGTTGTCCTCTTCTTTGCCATCTCCTAGGACCCGTGGGCTGTTGGCTCAAACCCCAGGAAATTGGGTCCTGATTCGGACCTGGAAAGAATCACTTCCATCCTGAATGGGAAGGACAATTACTAACCACTGAAACAGCCATAAGAACTGCGGAAAAAGGTCAGACTCACTATACTTGAGTGAAGGCATCCATCGACCCTAGTACCTGTGAAGTTGTTCCTGCAGAAAACTTGTTGGAGGTTGAAATTGAAGAGAAAAATCTCATAGTGGACTCTGAGTGGGATAAAATCTTACAACTGTAAATCAACCTTTTATTTTCACAGGTAACTAATGAGTGTGGCTTGTGAGTGAGAGAAAGGACTGGCCTATAGCAAATCGAAGTGCTCCCAAGGGGTTTTTGTTCTAGTAGTACATATATTTTATTCTTTGTATTGATTTGGAAATCTACAGGTAAAAATAATGACAGGGTAAATTCGACTGTTAATTTTGTTTCTAGTAATAGTAGGCCTTAGAGAAGGTCTTGTTCAACTGGCAACTTGGAAAAGGCATGACCAGATCATGGGAAGTCGGGATACCCCATCAAAATATGGGTGACTGTGACAGAGGGTTACGTACCACAATCCATCATGCTTGATGCTTGTGAGATGTTAGCTTGTGGAGATTTAAATGCCCAATGACAATTGAGCAGAGAGAACAAATAACTGGGAGAGACCCAACAGCCAGATTGAGAACAGCTGTATGGAAACAATCCTCTATTGCCATCAGAGAAAGGGAGAAACTGAAGGAGAAAACAGGAGAGAAAACAGAAGGCCCTCTTTGAAATGTGGTAGTTCAAACATTTGAATTGAAACAGGGTATGGGGATGTGAATGCCTGGATAGAATGGGTCAAATATACTGTCCAGAGTCTCAACCGTAGCTAATGCTAAGCTTGTGCCTTGGGACAACTGATTGCCCAGATAGTGCCCTTCCCATGGTGGTGGACGAAGGATTCCCAGGGGATGTGATGTACGATTGCATTGTACCAAGAAAAGACTGCCTGAGGAAATAAGGCCTCTCTCTTCACTGTTCTTTGCATGATCTCTACAGCTATAGGTAACCACACAGCACACAGCTTGTCTCTCACGGCAGGGTGTGAGTGCTACCCGGCATCTGGGAGAATTTGCCTTGTACTACCAAGGACTTGATGGGAAACTGCTCAAGACTTGGGATCGCCAGGGCAGATCACTGGTGGTACTGTGGAGGGAAGATCTTACAGTCCACCCTACCATCTAACTGTGGAGGCACTTGTGCACTTGTTCAATTAGCTATACCCTTCACCCTGGCATTTGAAAGAGAAACATCACATGTATCTGGAAGAAATAAAAGAAGCTTAGGAGTATCATTCGATGATAGAGAGTACGGAGAGTACAATGATAGAGAGCACCCCATTCTACTGGGGTGCCTAGAGGAGCTCCTGATGAACATAAAACCAGGAATCAAATTGCTGCAGGGTTTGAGTCACTGTTCTGGTGGGTAACAATCAATAAGAATGTGGATTGGATTGTTTGTATTTATTATAATCAGCAGAGATTCATAAATTATACAAGGGATGCAGTAAGAAGAATTGCTGAACAACTAGATGCCACCAGCAAAATGGCTTGGTAAAACAGAATAACATTAGATATGAAGTTCGTGGAGAAAGGAGGTGTACATGTATGTGCGTGATACTGGGCAACCATTGTTGCACTTTTATACCCAACAATACTGCCCCAGATAGCACAGGAACTAGAGTATTGTGAGGGTTTGCCAGAGGGTTCACCTTTGCCAGTGAATTGGCAGAAAACTTAGGAACAGACACTTCCATCACCAAATGGTTGTAATCTTGGTTTGGTAAACAGAAAGGGATGGTAGTGTCCATATTTACAGCCTTGA